TTTTTTTTTTTTTTATTTTAATAAAAAATTTAAAAACAATTGAAAAGAAAAGGGAAAGAGGGGGGGGGGGGGGGGGGGAGAGGGGAGAGGAGAGGAGAGGAGAGGAGAGGAGAGGAGAGGAGAGGAGGGGGAGGGAAAAAAGAGAGAGAGAGATAGAGAGGAAGAGAAAGAGAAAGAGAAGGAGAAAGAAAACTAAGAGTAAATATTTTCAATCAGAAATGGTCTCACACTTAAATTTCCAGAAAACAAGAGACTAAGCAGGAGGACAGGCATGAGACTGGTTTCATCCTGGAACTCCAGTGTAAGACTTTGTTTCCAAAGAGCAAAATTAGTTCTATATTCAATTAGCCCAAATATCAAACATTGACTTTTTCTGTTAATGTTTGTAAAATAAATACTTGTGCTCTGGTGGATCTGAAAATAACAAAGGGTACAGGTTACAGCAGGATGTAGTAAACAAATCTACCATAAGTGCTAAGAAAAATAATTTTATAGTCAAGTCTTTGAATTCTCAGATTTTACATATGTTAAGTCAATTGTTACCGTCATTTTGCTACTGGTTAAGATTAATCTCATAGTTAAAGACAGTTAAAGTTTATACATTATAAAAAATACTTAAGTGCAATTTCTTTATAAAAGGAACATTCCTAAGATATGCTACTTCTTATAATATTACTGTATAACCTAAATAAACAAATAAAAATAAAAATGTATAAAGGATTTTAAAATCTGTAGGAAACACATAATAAAAACACTTACTTCTAGAGCACTTTGAACTCGGTCTTTACTGGAAGCATTTCTCTTGAAGTTATTTGTTAAATTAATTGGTTCACACCAGTGGTTGTAGTCACCTTCATACAGCAAGCAGTCATTTGGTAAAAATGTTTCTACCCAAAGACGACACACATTATCCTTACAGCAAGTCAACAGTACATTACATACAGAAGCCCTGAAGAACAAAAATATTTTAGAAACAATACTAATTATATAGCACTGCATCAAAACATTCTGCAGTGTTTCAATACATATTTAAACACATAATAAGAGAGACAGAGAGATGTTCAACAGTTAGGAGGCTGCTCCTCTAGAGAACCAGGGTTTGATTCCTAGTACTAATTAAGCCCAGTGAACTCCAGTTCCAGAGAATCCAACACCCTCTTTCTAGCCTCCAGTGGTACTGCACAGGAATAAATGCAAGCAAAACATCCATATGTATAGAATCTTTTTTTAATGAAGAGAATGTATATTGATTTCACAACAGAAAATGTTTACCAACCTATTTCTTCTCTGTCTAGAAAATAGTTGTTATAATAATCTAAGATTTGTATTACATCTCAGTTGATGAGCACAAAGCAATGTTCCTAATAAAACTTCTCTATTTATTCAGTAAAAGACCATTATTTTAATTATTTCATAATGTTCAAGTTTTACTTTCTGATATAGCCATATAGTATATTTATCCTCTTCTTGCCTGCCAAGGGCCAAAGCAGTAATGTGCAAGAGAACTCATGACAGACCAGCACAAACCAAATCCATCCTTACTAACTCTGAACTTTTGGTTATTTCCTTTTTAGGACACCCTCAAATAAAAGTATACATAGTCATTACCAACAAAGAAATTTTACTTAATAATTTAACAAATGAAAGGAAGAAAGGGAGTGAGGGTAGGCAGTAAAGGCAAGAATAGAAGAGAAAGAGCTAAGAGGAAAGAAATCAAATATTCTACAACAATCACCTTATCACCCACCTCTATATGATTAAGAAGAACAATTAGCACAAAAGAAAAATGCAGCAAAAGTCAGGTTTGCCTAGATTACTCTGTCAACTTCAACTTCCCTAGTGCATTTTCTCACCCCTCTCCCTGTCTGACTGTCACTGCTTTTCTCTATCTAATCCTTTGCATTCCTCTTTCCATAACTTCTCCATTCTTCTTCCCTTTCACTGTCCTCTAACATCATTCTCCGTCCCTCTAGGGCAGGTTTTCTTTTTATCAGCCCTGTCTGCCTCTTCCCTCACTCTTGTGATTTCTTCCCAAACCTCTTGCTTCTCATTCTTCATCATAACACTCATCCATCCCTTTCCATTTTCCCCTTCCTTTCTTCTATCCCTTGTGAATACTTATTTCCTCCCTGTAACTTATATATTTATTAATATAGACCATAGCAATAAAATTAAAAATAAGCAAATATATCAAGAAAATAAATCAAAAGACAATAACAAAAGTCAAAGGTTCAAAAGAAATACCAAAGGTTTAAGGTTCATATTGCCAATGAGTAACTACCAGAGTAAAAACACTTATAAAGAAGAGTAGAATGTAGCAAGCAACTTAAGGGTAGAATAGATGGCAATCAGATGAAGGGAAAGAACTTAAGAGAAATGAAACAAATCAGAAAGGACACAGATCAAAAGCAGGTGACAGCAATGATCTTAATGTGCATATAGCTTCAACTGACTCCTCAAGATACTTAGTCAATATAAACAACTGGTAGATAATATATAAAATGTATAGAGAGACTATGCATTTCTTTGGCAGTGTCTACCTTGCTCCCTTCTTAATTGCACTGTCCTCTAAGTACCACATGCTAACAGACTAGAGCTCCCCTTCCTTACTTCTTTTACTGTTATTATAACCTTGATGGTCTACCACAATGGTTCTCAACCTTCCTAATGCTGTGACCCTTTAAAACAGTTCTTCATGGTGTGGTGATCCCCAACCATAAAATTATTTTTGCTGCTACTTCATAACTGTAATTTTGCTACTGTTATAAATCATAATGTAAATATCTGTGTTTTCCTATGGTCTTAGGTGACTTCTGTGAAAGGGTCATCAACCCTGACCCACAGTCTGAGAACCACTGGTCTATCATATTGATATAAAGTCCATACAGCACATAAAACCCATAACTAACAATATGTTTAACCTTACAGAAAGCAACCCTGTGATGGGCTACTTGTCCCTAACATCTGTCCTACACTGATGGTTTTAAACTTGCTATCTCCAGCCACCTTTTAGAGCTTTCTGCAGGGTATCACTAACCTCCCAATTTGTCCTATATCCATCATTTTTTAAACAGTAAAATATATGCTCACTACACAAACATAGATACTGTTCTTTCTCAATCCAATGGTCTATCTGTATTCAACTTTGCTACATTGAAAAGGAAAGAGAGAGACTACAGCATAGTATAATGGCCCAAAGGCAAAGAGGTGAGAGAGTAACTAAAAATGCTTCATTGTTATTTGCAGGTGCCCTTAAATGTCCCAGTTTTAGGCATCTGCTTCAGCCTTCACTGTGATGAGTTCTGTCAAAACTTAAGTAAGCTAAGTCAGTACCCCCAAAATTCAGTGATTCATACACCTGTTTAGTATTTTGATGGTTGTAGCATCATTAAATGAGAATTTTCCATTATTATGTATCAGAATAAATTAGTTTCTGTAAAACAGTACTCTTCAGATAGGTTTAAAAGACAAATTTGTGACGACGAAGCTGGAGTCACTCAAAACTTTCAAAGTAAGACTTAACAGACACAATAAGATCATTTTATTCAAAACATATCTATGTATGCAGGCAATAGAGAATACTAGAACATAGTGAATCTAAGGTGAGGTTCCTTTAGCTGACAATACTGATTACCCAGACCATTGTCTCTTAGCTTGAAGACTCTGACACATATTAAGAACAGAACCATTACTTTTCCTAGAGTTTCTCTTCTACATCTAAACTCTGACTAGAGGGTTAGAATAAGGACAGTAACTATTACACTGTAGCTAAAAAATCTCGGTATATCCTATTGGTCCAAAACAGCAAAATAAAGTCAACAAATGACTTAGGTATATCACTACAATTCTACTTGAACATCTCAGTTGCTAAAACCCAACAGCAATACAAAGGTAAGAGATAGATAACCAAATTAGCATTGCAGTGTAGTACAAGATGGATTTCTAGATGTACTTACCAGATCTATGAAACTTACTACAAGAACACAAAAATTCTATGTGATAGTAACTTTTTCAAGGACCACCAAAAAGAAAAGTATAACAGGCACATATTTCTGAACTTGTATGAGCAAAACTGAAACCTAACTTGAAGCATGATAATGTAAAGAATTAACTCTATTTTGTTCAATGATGTCCCTTCAATACAAGATAGTTTGTTTTAAAAAAGGATGCCAGAAGATACAACAGAAAGTACAAAATGAAGATAACTGTCATAAAACTTCAGACAAACAGCAATCTGTATAAGGAAATACAGTAAAATAGAAAACACAAAGAGTCTGGCATTGGTGAAGCACGCCTTTAATACCAGCACTCGGGAGGCAGAGGCAGGAGGATCTCTGTGAGTTCGAGGCCAGCCTGGTCTATAGAGCAAGTTCCAGGACAGGCTCCAGAGAAACCCAGTCTTAAAAAACCAAAAAAAAAAAAAAAAAACGACTCTCTTTCCTGCTTTGTTTCTCTCTCCCCCTATTCCCCTGGGTCAGACAGGACTTTTCATGTCTCCTTTTTCTCTTCTGTCCTCCCTGTGTCTCTGTGCCTCTTTTCTCTTTCCTTCCCCGTCCCATCACTTTCTAATAAAACTTCTCACAAAAAAAAAAAAGAAAAAAGAGAAAGAAAACAAAGAAAAGAAAAACATGTAGAACTCTATGACAAAGACATTTGATATGGAAGTAAATTATCTTGGTCTTAAATTCCCTTTGAGATTCTTATACTACTAATCATTAATCATACTTGATCAGACACATGCAGCCTGGAAAAATCAACTATTATCCTAATCTTCAAAGACTCCAAGAAAAAAAAAAAAACAGTCAAATTGGTGATGTTCTCTTAATACACAGTGAAATCACAAAAAATAAACTGACCTTGGCATATATTTGCTTGTTTTACGCCAGGAAAATCCATTTACAGCTCGTGGATGGGCCAGATACACAAAGGAAAAGTCCATTTCTCCTTGGGATTGTTTTTCTGAATTTTTATCTGGAGAGGTAACAGCTGGTCGCCAGTTTTCTACATTATACCATACCTTTAGAAGACAGTCATCCTAAGGAGAAAACAAGTATCCAGTGACCATATAATCTCCTACATTATTCAGGAAAAGTGAAAATAAGGGCTTCTTTTTCCGTAAGCCCAAAATCAAGTAAGAGTGCAATACTAAAAAGAATAAGTCAGTTAATGTTTATAAGTTCAAAAGTAAAGTACAGGAGACTGGGGATAGCTCAATGGTTAGAATGTGTGCTCCATAAGCAGGAGGATCTGAGTCTGACCCTCCAGAGCCCATATATAACAGTCAGGTGCCATAGTGCTTGCCTGTAACCCTTGTTAGGAAGGCAGGAACAGGAGACCCTGGAGGCTTTCTGGCCAGCCAATGTAGCCCACACTGAGATCCAGGTTCAATAAAAAATAAGGTGGATACTGGTAATGAAAGATGTACTTCATTTCTGGCCTTTATTCTGTATGCACATGTCTGCACATACACCACACATACATGTGCACACAGGGGCAGGTATACACATAGGCTTAAAATATAATGTAGTACAGACATACAATTCGACAACAGTATTTTCAAATTTACCTTTCCAGCAGTGGCAAAAAATTCTCCATCTGGTGAAAATTTCATTAAATGGACTTGGGAAGCAGTTCTGTAAATTAAACAGAGAAGGGATAACTGGCAAGGAAACTAGGTTCAACATAATCATCATGCTTCGAATTAAACTCCAGCAATTTCTTATTCTTACAGAATTTTTTTGTTTAACAGTTTCACGCTCACTTTTTTTCCCTTTATAAGATGAGGTCTTGCAATGTGGTTCAGATTAGATCTTAACACCAGGTTAAGTAGTCCTACTGCCTCTATAACACATACCTAGAATTACAGAGTATCATATCTGACTCTAAAGGTTGACTCAAGTTTCTGTTGCTGATGTTGTTGAGAAATTTTTGTATTTGTTTTTGTTTTGTTTTGCTTTTTGTTGTTAGGTATTGAACTCAAGGGCCTGCACATGCTAAATACATGCTTTTCTATGTACCTCCTCCAGACTCCTAACTTTTAAGCATATGCCAAAAAAGAAAAAGTTACTAAGAAACTTTAAATATAAAATGCATAATTTCTAAGTCATGCAAATGCAGATAATACCAGTTTTCAGAAGGTAAAATTAAGAACATTGCAAGTTTGAGGACAAGTTGGCTTACTCCATGACTACTTCAGGCAAGCCACAGATGTATGACAAAGCCCTATCTCAAAAACCAAACCCAGAGCAGTAGAAACTCCCTAGAATCTAGGAGGCATGACCCTAGCTAAATCTTCTAATAAGGGGGGATACAGAAACCAAACTGGCCATCTTCTATAACTAGGCAAGGCTCCTAGCAGCAAGAGTGAGACATCACCCCAACCACAAAACCTTTTACCTACAATCTGTTCAGCCTGTAAGACATGCTGGGGCAATGGTAACATAGAGCTTGTGTGAGTGGACAACCCATGACTGGTCCAACTTTAAACTTATGCCATGAGAGGGAGCCCATGGCCAACACTGCCTGGATGGCCAAGAACCAGAGGCAGGATAGCCAGAGACACAGGACAAAACTAAAACATGGCTGGCAAAAAAAGAGACAAAACAAAAAAACAACAACAACAAAAAACCAATGAAATGATTAACAATATTCTGTTATATTCCAAAATTGGTACCTAGCCAGTTGTCATCAGAGAAGTAACCAATGTGAGCAGACATAGAGACCTACTGCCAAACACTAGAAGGAACCAGCCCCCTCCTGCAAGGAGGAGAGGAAGGACTGGGGATGAGGGACACCATGAGAATATGGCCCACAGAATCAACTAAGCAAGCTCATAGAGACTCATAGAAACTGAAGCAACAATCACAGACCCTAAATGAGGTCCTCTGCATATACCTTACAGTTAAGTAGCTTGGACCTCTTGTAGGTCTCCTAAAAAGGGAGTGGAGACGTCTGACACTTTTGTCTGTATTTGGGACCCTTTTCCTCCTACTGGGTTGCCAAGTCCAGACATGGTATGCGGGTTTATTGTACCTTGTTAGGCCACGTTCATTGGTTATCCCTAGAGACCTACTCTTTTTTGGGGGAGGGGGGAGGAGTCGATCTGAGTCTGAGGGAGAAGGAAGATTATGGAGAGACTGGAAGGAGTGGAGGGAGGAGAAACTGAGGTCAGGATAGAATATAAGAGAATAATAACAGTTAAAAACAAACAAACAAAAAACCAAACCATTCCCTAAGAATCATACAAGTAATAATTGTTAAAAAAAACTTCATATAAAAGCCTAACACTAAAGTAATAGCAATTTCTCTTTAAAGGTGAAGGTTTCTGTTTTCAAACTGGATATTTAATTTCCAGAGCCATGGATCTCTAATACTACAATATACATTTTTGAAGACAACAATGTTTTTAAATGAATTTTCCCTTCATCTGGTATAACATTTACTTAATGAAAGACTTATGTGTATTAAAGGAAATTAAATAACCATGAATTCAGCTACCCAGCTTTGCCTACCTACTTAGTGCATACTTGCCTTTTCTCCTCGAAGAAATTTTGGCTCATTATCCCATATTGTCTTCCATTCTTAACACTCTTATACACTGGAAACCCCCAGCATTATCATCATTTTCCTTTTCTTTATCCAAATTCATCAACTCTTAAAATGTCTGTTATTTATACATACTTTGACTTTGAAAATTCTCCCTTCACATCTTCATAACCCACTGTTTTTAACTAACATTTGGTCCATTCTTTTCCAATCAATCTCATTTTTTCATTACAATTTTTTTCATTTTTACTTTCTTCTACCTCCTCTCTTCCTGTTCCCTTCCCCTAACTCCTTTCTACCCTCCCCCACCCACTCCTCAGAAAGGGTAAGGCCTCGCTTGGGAGTCAACAATAAGCATGGCACATCATGTTGAGGCAGGACCTACATCAAGGCTGAGTGAGGCATCCTATCAAAAGGAACAGGTTCCAAAAAGCCAGCTTATGCACCAGGGAACAAGCCTGGCCTCACTGCTATGGGCCCCTAAAACAGACTAAGATACACAATTGTCACCCACTTGCAGAGGGCCTAGGTTGGTCCCTGCAAGCTGCCTAGCTGTCACTCTTAGAGTTCCGAGCTCCCACCAGCTCAGGTCAGCTGTCTCTGTGTCTTGATTCCTCTTGCTCATATAATTCCTCCTCCCTCTCTTCCACTGGATTCCCAGAGCTCAGTCTAGTGCTTGGCTGTGGATCTCTGCATATGCTTCCATCAGTTACTGGGCAAAGATGACAATTAGGATAGTCACCAATCTGATTACAGGAGATGGCCAGTTCAGGCACCCTCTCCACTACTGCTAAGAGTCTTAGCTAGGGTCAACCTTATGGATTCCTGAGTTTCCCTGGTACAAGGTTTCTCCCTAACCCCATAATGGCTCCCTCTATCAAGATATCTTTCATTGCTCTCCCTCTCCATCCCTCCTACCTTTTGGACTAGGCCATCCTGATACCTCATGTTCCCTTCTGCCATCCTCTCCACTCTACTCCCCCCTTCCCTAGTTTACCCAGGAGATCTCATCTATTTCCCCTTCCCAGGGTGATCCACGCATCCTTCTTAGCGTCCCCCTTTTTATGTAACTTCTCAGGGGCTGTGGATTGTAGCAGGGTTAGCCTTTGCTTTGCATCTAATATCCACTTATGACTGAGTACATACCATGTTTGTCATTCTGAGTTTAAGTTGTATCACTCAAGATGATTTTTTCTAATTTCATCCATTTGCCTGCAAATTTCATGATGTCATTGTTTTTTTTTTTTTTTTTTTTTTACTGATGAGTAATACTCTATTGTGTAATATACATTTTCTTTATCCATTCTTCAGTTGAGAGGCATCTAGGTTGTTTCCAGGTTCTGGCTATTACAAATAAAGATGCTGTGACCATAGCTGAGTAAGTATCCTTATTGTATGACTGACCAGCCTTTGGTTATATGCCCAAGATTGGTATAGCTGGGTTTTGAGGTACATGGATTCCCAATTTTCTGAGACACTGCCATACTGATTTCCAAAGCAGCTGTGCAAGATTGCACCAGCAATGGAGGAGTGTTCCCCTTACTCCACATCCTCTCCAGCATAAGCTGTTATCAGTGTTTATGCTTCATCTGAGTTGGGATATTCAAGTCTTGCTGTTGTAGAACTAACAGGTTCTGGTGGTGTCATATTACCCTTTATGTTGTTGAATATATTCTTACACTGCCATTCACCCATCTGGGTTTGGGATAATTATAGGTATGGGTGTTGATTCTTGTGATGTCTTTGCTGGATGGATCTTTTGTTCCTTTCTTGTCTGTTTCCTTTATTGTCTTTTAGCATGAATGGCCAAAGGTTCTGGCTGGTTGTCAGATGGAGTATGGTTGTCTCAGCTGAGGTCTGTAGGGTGTGGGTAACTAGATCCAGTATATCATCCAGTTCTTCTGGCTGGTATGGGCTTTACTTGTGCCTGTAGGATCTGTTTTTCCAACTGGTGTGGGTTGTGCTTGTGCCTGTTCTTCCAACAGATGTGGGTAGTACTTATACCTACATGGACTGCTGTTGTTGCTAGAGAAGGCTGTTCACAGGGAAGCTGCTCTTCTTCCAACTGGTGCAGGCGGCACTTGTGCCTTTAGGGGCTGCTATGTTGCAGGGGATCGTTGGCCAGGGGGAAGATGATGGGTTCAGTGTGTTTGGGTAGCAGAGTGGGTCTTGTGGGTTACACTGTCGAATGGGTTTTGGTGGTGGTGGAGCCACCTGGCTAGCTGCTGGGACTGAGATGAGAGGAGGAGGGGCACAGGATGTGCCCTGGGGCTTAGGGACTAGAACCAATTTTATTTTTAAAAGAAAACATTAACTCCAAAACGGCAGCTATTTCCCCTCACCCTTTTTATTTCCTTAGAGAAATACTTTATTTGTATAATCAAACATATTACTTTTTCCTTCTCTTTCAATTTCTAGCTTTGCTGTCATTTCTAAATTTGATGGAAATGTATTTCCACACTTCCAAACACCATTTTTATTTGTCCAACAGCAACAGAAAATAAATTACTAATGAACATGTGGAAGTTATAAAACAACTTGGAGGAACCAGTCCTCTCCTTCCACCACATGCATTCTGAACTTCAGTTGTAGGGCTTTGTAGTAAGCACCTACGGAATGAGTCATCTCACTGCCTACCTATGTATAAGTTAGTCTGATCTTACATTCTAATGTCTGTTCATACAATGAATAGACTAAAAAATCATATATAAAACCAACTTACAAAATAAAAAACTGCAGAACAGGTTTACCAGTTAAACTCTCTAGTAAATTGCTTACTTGCAATGCCAAATGCACACCCAATCTCCAAAGTTAAGATTTGTTCTATCTGGATTTTCATCTTCAGTTTGCTTCCTTGAGTTATTGTTACACCAGAGCTGCAGACAGCTAGAACCAGTTAAAAGACGATTACCTAAAGAAATATACAAATATATTATTAGCCATTTATTATGTAGGTAGTTAACACTGAGTTAGGATACATACTCAAGAATCTTATAAAACTATAGAGTATAATAAAGTTTCTAAAAAGAAACTGTTCAATGGGTAAAGGCATTTACTTCTAAGCTCAATGACCTGAGTTCCATTCCCAAAACACACATGATGGAAGGATAGACCAACTCCTACAAATTGTTCTCTGAACCCCATATATGAACTACAGCTTGTTGACACCCATACATACATATACATAATAAGTAATGTAATTTTAATAAACATATATGTATTATAAACAAAAGAATAAATTTTTGAAGAGATTGGACCTGTTTATATCCTTCAATGGCAGGAAATAATCCCATGTATTCCAGCCCTTCCCTTGAGGATAATATATTAACAGATAATGGTAACTGGGGGGAGGGACCTATGAGCACCCACTTTGAATATCTACATTTATCAGTCCCAAGAGAGAACAAACATTTTATTTTGTGTTACAGCCACTGGTACGGAGCCCATACTCTTGGGAGATAATCCATCCTCCAGGATCCTGTAAGAAATCCTAATAAAATGCAATAGGGATGGAGGGAGGGAGGGAGGGAGGACAGGGAAAAAGAACAGAAACAAAAGTCCAGCAAGCACAACTTTAGATCAGAAATTCATAAATCCATGTGTTTTCATCATTTAATTAGCCATGCAAATTGTGATCTTACTGTATTTGCTTTTTACTCTTTTGGCTTTTTGGTCTTTTTGAGGAGCCCACCACCCAGCTCCCAATAAAATACATGGAGGCTTATTCTTAGTTACAAATGCTCAGACTTAGCTTGACTTGTTGCTAGCCAGCTTTTCTTAATCTAAATTAACCTGTCTAACCTTTTCCCTCTGGGCTTTTCTCTTTTTTACTTCTGTATATCTTACTTTCCTTCTTGCTCTGTGGCTAGCTGGGTGGCTGGCCCCTGACATCCTTCATACTCTTCTCCTTGATCTCTTGCTGCTCTTTTTCCTTCCTTGGTTCTCCTATTTTTCTCTCTGCCTGCCAGTTAGCCTATCCTTGCTCCTACCTCACCATTGGCCATTCAGCTCTTTAGTAGGACCATCAGGTGTTTCAGACAGGGAAAATAACACAGCTTCACAAAGTTAAAGAAATATAGCATAAACAAAAGCCACACACCTTAAAATAATTACCCAACAGGATCTACTTAGGCAACCTTTGAAATTCAATTTTCTTACCTGTATTTTCAGAGCTTTCTAGAGTTATAACTGTAACTTGTACAAAGTCTGTAGTTAGGTCCCCATGCAATATGACTTTCCCACTCTTTACACCAAGAATGGAATCTGTTTCTCTTATTTCTTGAATACCTGGACTCCCACTTTTTTTTTTTTTTTTTTTTTTTTTTTTTTTTATCGAGACGGGGTTTCTTTGTGGCTTTGGAGGCTGTCCTGGCTCTTGTAGACCAGGCTGGTCTCGAACTCACAGAGATCCACCTACCTCTGCCTCCTGAGTGCTGCCATTAAAGGTGTATGCCACCACCACCAGGTTGCAACTGTTCTATGTTAAAAGATACATACTAGCCAAACACTACACGTGATCTGTAGAGACTGAGTCAAATACTATTTGCTGGTGGCAAGCTATAGCAGTCCTTGTTACTCATGTGGCAAAGAATGAAAACAAAGTCAAGACCAGCCTGGGTAAGGCAGAGACCCACCCAAGTCTCAAATGAGGGAGGGAGTGGAGGGAGGAAGTGAGGGAAGAAATGGAGATAGTTCAGTGAAAGAATGCTTATCTTAAATGTATTCTTCATATTGCTTCAAGACCTAAAACAACCTTGCCCTAACCCCCCCACCTCAAGTTATGTAATTTTTAAAGTAAATACATAACATAATACAGGATCTTGTTTTAGAAGTAATTTCTTATTCCTATTTCATCTACTTTGCCCTAATTGTTAAAATCTTTCAAAAAGTCAAGTCAAAAGAACTTTATCAATGAAATCTTATTTTCCAGAGAGATTTTTTCTCTTTTTTCCAGAAGTAATAGTTATTCTGCATAACATTTATCATGTCATATCATTTACTATCACTTGTATTTGACTTCATTTCAGTATAAATTACAGAAGGGCACAATTTGCTTTATTTACTTTTGTATTCACCATAGTCTAACAGATGAAATAACTAAGAGTAATAAAAACAAACTAGTTCAATAACATTTGTTCCAACTAATCTTGTTATATTCCTTACCTGTGGGATCCCAAGTTATATTAAGTGCTATTGAGTCCAAAAAAAACTGGCCACTTTTCTGCCACTGACTATAAAGTTCCTAAAATGAGAAAAAAAGTCAGCTAGTTATGATTAGCATCGCTTATACCAAACCAACATGTTTACATTTTCTGTATTCATATTAATGCAGTCATTTTTTTTAGGAGAACAAAACAACTCAGTCAAGAAAAATAAGAATTATATCAGTAATTCTCAACCTGTGGGTCAAGACCCCTTTGGGGGTCTAGTAACAGATATTCTGCATATCAAGTATCTACATTATGATTCCTAACTGTAGCAAAGTTACAGTTACGAAGCAGCAACAAAAATAATTTTATGGTTGGGAGTTAACACAACACGAGAAACTGTATTTAAGGGGTACAGCATTAGGAAGGTTGAAAACCACTGAATTAGATGACATAAAAGACTCTTGGAAGACTACCCATTGCTGGGATCTGAAAGTCTATCCTTAGTATAAATAACCAATAAGCATGTATCTTACCTAGCTTGACATCAAACATTGCTTATAGTATGTACATTTTATTATAGTAGAGTTCAAAGTATAATTTTAAATGTGTGTCCATGGGTCAAATAATTTAAATATTCTTCTCTTAATGTTTCATCTCTTTCTGAGATACATTACTTCCTTACTGAAAGACTTTCCCACTCTATCAAACCATATTTTATTTGAACCTACAAATTAGTAATCAGTAAAAAAAAAAAGTACACGTGGCACTATATATATGACTTAAAACTAGGGGTGTCCTTGCCACTAGTAGTATGTAACCCAACATTTTCCACTTGGTTCATTTTAAGTTTAAACTGTGGCCTATTAAATTAACCCATAAGGCTGTCTATGGAAGCTCACTGTACACCACCACCAATAGAACTGACCTACTCCTGGCACTGGGCTTTTATTAGTCACCCCCTTATGTCTAGTAGAGGTATTGTTGCGGCAATATAGGGAATGTCCATTTTAACTCGTGAGTGTGTATGTGTTATGCATTACTATAAAAAGTTTGTAAATAAAAATAATCATAAAAAATTAACCCATAAATACTGCCTTACTGCAATGCCCCTCACACTTCCATACAACAAAGAATAGCCTATGATATTTATCAAAAGTTCAAAGTTTCCAAAGCTATCAGGTTCAAAAAGTGCACTATGAAGCATGGGAATATGGACTTTAAACCAATACTTAAGGTGATTTGATACCACATGTGGACTACAGAATACCTTTTCAGGAAACATGGACACTGCCAGAATAGCTCTCAATCACAATGAATATCAGAGCCTTTCATAGAACTAGACACATAGATGAATACAATCATATGCCCACAGTTTTGGACAGTCCTAAGGTAAGAGCTGAACATAAGAATTTACTAATAATTTATAAAGAATAGGAATAGTTATATTACTGCTATTTGCAGTGCTGAGAACTGAACTTACAGCTTTGCACACACTAAACAAGCACTCTATCCCTCTATTCCTGAGCTACATTCCCAGCACCAACAGTAACTCAAAGTATAACTCTCATAAAGAAACACCATCTCAAAAGAGTATTCCAGAGTGTATAAGAAAAATGAGAATATCTTTTGTATAAGGATTTAAGGAATGTTTGAAACTATATTTCAGTATTAACAGATTTTGTTCAACTCTGTTCTTTCCAGTTTTCCCCTTCAAGGGGAAATAATATTGTGGAACAAACAACTAGCTTGATCTTACTGAGTATCTTACACTATTATATTCATCAAGAATACTCAAGACAGGCGGTGGTGGTGGTGCAGCCCTTTAATCCCAGAACCTGGGAGGCAGAGGTAAGGCAGATCTCTGTGAGTTGGAGGCCAGCCCAGTGTACAAGAGTAAGTTCAAGAACAGGCTTCAAAGCTACACAGAGAAACCCTGTCTCAAAAACCAAAAGAAGAAAAGAATAATACTCAACTTGATTAAAAAGAAAAAATAGTTTTTAAATTAATCTATTCTTATAAATAAAGGCATTTTAACAAAACCAATTTCTTCATTCAACAGATAGTTGCTGCATACAACTTTGAATTTTTAAAATGGTAATGTATAAAAAGCAATAGCTTCTGAGAGACAATGGATTATGAAAACTCTTAAATTAAACCAACCTATATATTTTAAGAATTTCTTAACTTCAAAATGGAAGTCAGAAAAATATGTTGTACTGGAGGAGAAGCCTTTGTTTCCACAGGAAACAAAACGTTATGGTTCTCTTCAAAATTAATGAAGATCAGATTTGATTGGGGGAGACCTCCTAACAATATTGGCTACAAATATGAAGAAAGAAGCCAAGAAAGATGACAGGTGCCACATATATTGATCACTTGACATGGGAAGAGCTCTGAGACAAGATGAGACATGATAAATCTTGTTGGCTACAGAGTCCTCATGACTTATTATTACATGAATCGTTTCATATGGCATGGATAGAGATTTATATTATAGTTTGTTTATACAGTCCAAATGGACTTATAAAGTTGACAGGTGCCTTTTACCTGCTCAAAACAAAACAAAAAATAAACGAAAAATCATCTTTAGCTGATTCGTGTGTACCACACATTCTATACTTGTGTTAATGCAGATGTTACCTTTAAAACTTTGTGTATTTTCAAAAACAAAACAAAAAAAAGGACCAGACACCAAAAAAGACAAGTAGCCTAAGTGATTCAGCCTCTCAGAATGTCTGTTGTAGTTTTCTTGAAATTATGCATCCAGAACAACTTCAAAGCTGCTGGTTGAGATGGTCCAGCCTCACAGACTACTCCAGGTGGGACTACAGATAAGCTCTACACTTTCCATTATCTCAATTTTCTCAGGGTCCTCTAAAGATACTGTCACCCCCAGACAACAGTAAGTAATTTTAAGAACACAACTCCTACATTCCCAAGAGGTGGGGTGTGTTTTTTGGTCATTCCATGGATTATGGATGTTTATCATCAGTTAGGGGGTTGTGGTTGCAAGTTGTTATTGGTCACAGTCAGGGAGGAAACTAAACAAAAGAGATTAGATTCAGGGATCTTGTTCTGGAAAAAAAAAAAGGTAGATATAGGAATGACAGGATAAAGGGATAGATTAGTGAATCTACTTTTAAATTAATGAAAGCAACTACTAGTCTAAATATTTTACATTGGTATGGATTTTTATATACTGATACAAATTTAAGGTTACTTTTGCTATAGTGTATATATTTCCATTCTTGTTTATGATATTTTTGTATATTGGTACAAATTCAAGGTTTTATTTTTGTTTTAACATATTGTATGTTTGTTTCTACTCTTAAGGTAGTGTACCTATGCAGCTCATTTTAAAATGCAATGTAAAATTCTAGCCCTTAAAGGCCATTATTACAAACTGTTTAAAATAATCAAGAAATATAGGTTAGAAGTTAGTCATCTATAACAATCAAATTTGTAGCCATGTTAGGTATGTTTTCAAGGTCAAACAGAAATGTATTTTTTTTAGATAGACAGATGGTCTTCAAACACTTCAGAGAGTTATGGAATATGGCATTTAAGATGTTTTAATAACATACGGCTTTTCATGACAGTGAGACACGTCTGCTCCTGGCAGCACCAATTTACTTCAAAAAAGGATGACAGGCATCAAAGAACCTCCATATGGAGTTTGTTTTCATTGTAGCAAAGTTACCCACTGAACAAGTGGTAACTGCCTCAACTGCTGATAGTATGATGTCCAAATTGGACAAGCAGGACACAAAATAAGGCAAATGCCAAACTTTGCCAAGACAAGTAGGACAGTTCTTCAAGATTCCTGCTTCACAAAAACGTCTGTCAGGTATTCTAGGCCTGAAGGCTGAAAATGAATACTCCCGACACTGCAGGAGAACCTTTGGGTGACTGTAAAGCAGCTCAGCTGTTCCTGTCATTTCTAGAGTTTTAGAAGTTGCTTGTTGTGCACTTCCTGTTTACTCAAGTTAATATTATACCCTTTTTGGGTCTCTGATGGGGTTGAATAATAGATAGTTATAATTTTATAGTTTTTTTCCTTGCTACCAGATTGAGAAAATTACATTAAGAGATATAAAGTAGCCAGGCAGTGGTGGTACATGCCTTTAATCCCAGCACTTGGAAAGCAGAGGCAGATGGATCATAATTAGTAAGTCTCGAAGTCCTGACTAGAAAGTACTTCTACAGTTCTTGGGAAGGTAACCGTCTTTAAAATATACTTTAAGGTTTGGCAAGATGGCTCAGGGTAAAAGCTGCTGTGAACAAGCCTTACAACTTACAACAGATCTCCTGCATCTATGTGATGAGAGGAGAGAATGCCTACAAATTGTCCTCTGGCCTCCACAATTGACATAATCTCCCCAGTTAAATAAATGTAATGAAAACTTTAAAAGCATAGTTTAGTACTTCCAACTTAAATTAATCACTTAATACAGGGGTAAGGCCCTCTAATACTGGATTAACTAGATAATTTATAGACATTGACAGAAATCAGAGAGAATTTTGAAAACTCTTCATGAAACTGAATGCTGATGAATGCCTGGCATAATGGCACATGCCTGTAAACCCAGCACTTGGGAGGCTGAGACAGGAAAATTGAGCATGCAAGGCTAATCTGAACTCATACTGAGTTCCAGGCTTGTCTTGGGCTAAAGGGCAAGATTCTGTCTCAAAAAGAAGGGGAAAGTGTTGGGAGGGGGGTAGTAATTTGTAAGATACTACTGATTCAAGCAAAAATGACCCCCAAATCATCAGAAGCTACATATGGGTATTTCTAACCATTAAAACATTATTTAATTCCCTACATTGCTGATCTGTACTATATCATCCTATTAACAATTCAAGCAAAGAGGGTCACAGGCAGCCTCAAGTAAGATCACATAGGTAAAACCAACAAAACAGAAATCAATCCTATATCTTCTATCCTTATTCTTTCACTTCACTATGCTGATGCTTTCATACAGCTTAGGAATCACTGACTTAATATTAATGATGACTACAAAGACATGCAAAAGAATGTGGCTCATCTGTTATATTTATAAACTATTAGTTAACAAACTTTCTAATTTCTTATATATTTTCCTTATAAAGAACATTTACTGACCTGATAGCAACTATATCACACAACATAATAAAAGCAAAAAAAAAAAAAAAGCTAAGTGCTAGAAATGTCTTAATACTGAAAGCAAATCATGTAATTCTAAGAATAATAAACATGAAAAGGCAGAAAACTGCTTAAGTGTGTTCTATAAACCAAGAACAAAGTGCCACTTATGGCTAAACAACAGTGTCTCATAGTAGCAATAAAGTAACTTCCAAACTTTAAGTTACCAATTCTTTGCCTATTAGGAAATAAAACTGTCAGAACACTTTATGACATTTGGAAAACACAATAGTATAATTCAATTCCAAAAGAAAATTTAATTACATTTTAATATGAACACTGAACTTAACATTTATCTTCAATTATATATAGTCCATAGCTTATACTAGTTTATCACATGGGCACATTGACTTTTTTATACTGCATATACTTCAATTCCTAAAAGAAAATAAATTACTGACCAAATTTTTCCTTTTTTTCCGAAGACTGACTGGTTCAAAAACAGAGATAACATTTCCATAGGATGCTGCAATCTTTTAAAAAGAAAGACAATTAGAAATAGATTAACATATTTACAGATCAAAGAAGCAAATGAAATAACTATTCTAGCTACATTTTAAATATGTAAATACAAGATTCCAGCCATTAGTACTCAAGAATGCTCATTTTGAAGACCATCATATGAGATCAGAATCCCAGCACTGCATATATTTTCAGAGATTTCTCTATCTGCATTTGTAATATATAACACTATCTTTCTAACAGTCCTATGTTGAAAAATGAAAAGAACATTCATAGATTCTTGATTGTAATAATCAATAATATGCACTATAATGTCAATTATTTTCCTCACAGAAGAAAACCATGTAAATACAACCTTTGCCAAATATGAAATCTGACATTTAAAAATGACTTTTAAGATCATCTATCTTTGGAATCCATAATTCTACCAACAAATAATTTAACTTCATAAAAATTGAACTTAAACTGGGTGGTGGTAGTGCACGTCTTTAATCCCAGCTCTTGGGAGGCAGAAGCAGATGGATCTCTGTGAGTTTGAGACCAGCCTAGTTTACCAGCTGGTTCCAGGATAGGCTCTAAAGATACACAGAGAAACCCTGTCTTGAAAAACCAAAATAAATAAATAAATAAAATAAAAATAAAGTTAAGATTTATTCTTTATCAATCCCCCGAGTATAATTTTTAACATTTTTGTTTTGTTTTTTAAATTTCTTCTTTCTTCATTTTTTGGCAGGGATACATGATTCGAACCCAGGGCTCTGTGTATGTACCCATAACTGAGTTGCATGCTTAATTATTTCTTAAATTTAGTCTTTAAGGAACTAAAATAGCTTGAATGAACCCCATCAAAATACCAGAAATCAGCTAGACACTGTGGCAGAAATCTGTAATCCCACAACTGGAAAAGGCTAAGGCAGAAGGATCACAGCTTACTGATTGGCCTTGGATACATAGTTGAAACTACCTCAAAAATGAGACAAAAATTAAACCAAACAGACCAAAATAAATACATAAATAAAGTAGACAGTTGGGCATGGTGGCACTCCAGAGGAAGAGGTGGGCCGATCTCTGTGAGCTCAAGGTTAGTCTGGTCTACATAGAGGTCCAAACCAGCTACATGGTAAAGAATAGACACATAAAAGAACAATATAGTCTAATGGAGGGGGACTAAGAGTTGAAGATATTACATATACAAAATATTAAAACAAATATTTTAAATGTACTGAGTTTGTAGAATATACAAATCAGTAATACCATGATGAACTAGGAAATCCTGGGCTCTAAGCATGAGTTAGTTTTGAAAATGGAAATGAGGGCATATTATGAACACGGTTATAAAGATTAAAAGAAGCAACACATATTTGCAGATGACTCATGACCAAACTAGCTAGAAGAGTTCTTTATAACAGAATGATGAACAGAAGACTAAAAGATAGGTTTGAGCCATAGTACACAATGATTCCTGCCAATGTGAGCAACTTGAACTTTTGCAAGTTAATGAGAAGAATATTTGAAGTTGATAAATAAGATATATATTTATCTTATTTATATATATTTTCTCAGAATAATTTGGTGAATACAAAGAACATATGTTGATAAAATACTGGTGCTGATGTCAAGTAGTGTTCTCTTCCTTAAAGACAGAAGTACCTTAGCACCAGACCCTAAAAATTTTCTTCCTGACTCTTTAAGGAACTATTCACCTTTCCTTAGGCAACCCTGTGGTCCCCTACTCCCAGGAAGCCACTATATTATATCAAACCTAGTACAGATACAAGATGGGCTGTAGCTCCTAGACTCAAGAAATACTCCTGCTTCAGCCTCCAGAGTAGCTGGGACTAGAGGTAATGTGCCATCCTGGTTGACTTCTTGACACTTTAAATGTCAAGACACTTATCTGTTAATAAGGAAATTTATCTTTTTTTTAGTTTGATCGTAAAACCAAATGACTTCATCTTAACCTAGACAATCATATAACTTAGTAAATTTTCATTCAAAAAAAAATCTTGCTGGAAGTTATCACATTTCCAACATTATTTAGCTCTATGAATCTGAATGATATTTATATAAGTTTTTAATAGTAACAAGAGATTAGAGAACTACAGAGCTACTAGCAAACACTAAAAGCATGAAAGGAAAAAAAATACAAAATAAAACAACAACAAAACCACCTCTCTGAATTTTAGAATTTTAAAGTAAAGAGCAGCCATGTGTGCAGCTTTGTTAAGGTCTGTCTATACAAGTGGCAGATATATGAGAGACATTTGTAACTATATTGAAAAAAAAAAAAGCTATACAGTGATAAAAGACAACAGTACAACAAACAGGTAAAGACTGAAATAGATAAAACTTTTATCAAACGTATTATTAAGTAGGTTCCTAACATGCTGGTGCATGTCTTTAATCCCAGCACAAAAAAGCATTCAGATCTGTGAGTTCAAGGCCTGCATGTTCTATATAGCAAGTTCCAAGGTAGCCAGATCCTGTCTCAAAAAACAATAAATAAATAAACCTAATCTTCTATACTTACTTGGTGCAATTTCAAGGTATGTATTTTGCCTGGTATGACTCCTAGCAGGACACTCTACACAACTATATTTTAAATGGTCAACAAGAACTATATATTGTTTCTTTTGTATTTGCTTTGTTATTTTACTTTAAATTTACTATTTTTACTTTTCATATACAAATAGAAGCCCTAGAAGTTTTCTTAGGCCTAAAAATTAACAAAACACCCCAGATTTTAGTGTATGTATTCTTTCAATGTTTTCCAGAAGTTACTAAAATAAATACTTGCATATAAAGAATGTCTACCAAATGATTTGTATTTTGAAATAAATGCTATTTTTTTTTCCTTTTTAAGAATGCTAACCTCTCAGGAGATTTTTGTTTTATATTGTTGTTTTTTGTTTGTTGTTTCTCTGTATATAATTGCCTGTCCTGGAACTCACTTTGTAGACCAAGGTGGCCTTGAACTCAGATCCACCTGCCTCTACCTCCGAAGAACCGGGATTAAAAGCATGTGCCACTACCATCTAGCCTTGATTTTGTTTTCTAATACCAACATACTAAGCTTTAGACATGTTTATAGGTACAAAGCATTATGCTTTTATCTCAATTAGTAGAGAAGATTGTGCTATATCTTAAAATTATACAAAAACAGAATTCCTAACTGAGTGTGATAGTTCATGCCTGTAATTTCAACATTCAAGAAACAGACAGTGGGACTGCTGTGAGTTCAAGGCCAGTCTGGTTTGCATTGTGAGTTCCAGAACAAGCTGGGTTACAATGTGACCTTGTCTCAAAACTCAAGAACGGGCTGAAGAGATGGCTCACTGACTTAAGAGTACTTGCTACTCCTGCAAAAGACCTACTCATTTCTCCCAGAAGCCATGTTAAGCAGCTCACAACCAACTGTTAAATCCAGGTGCAAGTCTTTGGGCATCAATTGTTAGATATTTTAAAACAACAAAAGATCATCATCAGAAATTCTGACATTCTCCAAAATGCATCTTAGAGAGCCAAAGAAATGTAAAGCTTTATCCTTGGAAAGGAGGCTTAATTTGAATAGGAAATATATATTTCAGAGATTATTCTGAAAAAAAAGATACTTAAAACAAATCTACATGTTACCACAAGATTACAAACCTTGCCTTGTTGCATTGAACAGTCTACACATCCCACTTGGATATTTCCATGCTTAGCGCCTGGGATGATCTGTAATCTTTCAAAATTACTTCCCAGTATTACAATGTCGCATCCAGATGCATAGGCCTAAAAAAGAAAAATAAAATTGATACACATTTCAAGAAAATATATAGTAAACTATCATTAAGTATTTTTTAAAACACATAAATTTTAACTGCTTTTGAGACAAGTTTTATTAGAACTATACTTTCTTTCCTTCCTATATGTAAATCTACTCCAAATCAGCCCCATCTGAAAGCAATCACATGCATTTCTTCCATTTTCACTGAATATCATCAACCATGTTTGTAATTTCATCTGTCTCCTGCCCTACTGTTAACAATCCAATTGCTTACATCCCTGTCTGTTTTCAAACAACCTCCCCTCCCCCGGCAAAAAAACCAACAAACTGACTTCTAAAGATTTCTACAGCATCAAGTTATAATCCCTGCTTAAATTTTGAAGTTTCCCACTACACTTTGAATGAAAGCCCCAACTCCTTAGCAGGACAGTACCCTAAGTGATCATCCTTCTACAAACCCATCTCAGGCACTTTGTTTCCTTCCTATACCTGGTTGTCCTCACACTGCTCTTCCTTCTGTTCCTTTTTCTGCCTCAAGGTCACTTATCTAACTTTTATTTATTTGGTCTTTGTCTAACTCAGGGCTTCTTAAAACTTTTTCCAACTGAGAAATTATTACATGGTCCAAGGCACACAGATATGTAAAATAGGTATAAAAATCAAACATTTAATAAGTATTTTAAAACAATTATTTGACAAACACAGATTCTTAACATTTATAAAAGGTAAAAGCAAATTTGTATTAGTGAGATGGATATGCTTGGTTTTTTATCTAAAAAATCTTGACTGGATATTTGATGAAAAAAGATATGCAGCACATTGTCTAATATTTTTCAGTTTAGTGATACCTTTATTTTTATAATCCTGAATTTTGAGAATATCATTTTGCATAAAATACATAGTATAAAACAGCAGAAGTATGCTTAGAGAAATTTCAGAAATTGATGGACATTCTTCTGTCCTAAGAATAAGACAAACTTCATTGAATGAATGACTGATTTCTGGTGAAGCTCAGCAGCTCAAACACAAAATTTAAAATCAAACATCATTTAACACTATAAAATCCAAAAATAGACTAATCTGAATTCTTTGTTAGATCTCTTAGGACCACCTGCCTAGGTGTGGCGCTGCCCATAATGTGCTTAGCCTTTAGAGCAGTTGACCAGCCCATGCTCTCTCTGTCCCACTTGTTCTCATAGTATTTACTACTCCCTACCTCTCTAGCTGCTTGGGATGTAGTGACATAGGATCTCATGGCTCCTAGAAATAAAAAACTAGGCTATAGTTTAAAAATAAAAAACATTAGTGGATGGTAGTGGTGAATGCATTTAATCCCAGCACTTGGGAGACAGAGGCAGGTGAATCTCTGTGAGTTTAAGGCCAGTCTGATCTACATAATGAGTTCCAGGACAGCCAGATAGGTCTAGGTAGAGAGACCTTGACTCAAAATAAACAAAGGAGGAACAGCTAATTTGACTAGAGACGACTTCTTTAAGGCTTTAGGAATGAGAAGTTATCTAGTTTAACACTGCTCTGGCAGTGTTAAACTAGAGATAAGCAAGACTACATAAAAGGACCTAGGTTAAAAGGTTATTTCACTGAGGTAGTAAGGACAAAGGTAAGTGAAGAGGTCTGAAAGTTATTTAGTAGGTAGACTCTACAGAACTTGAGAAAAGTGTTGGAGGGAGGAGTGCTAAGGATTCTACCAAGCCTCTAGTTTAGAAAAACAGAAGGGACCGGAGTGGTGGTAGCACACACCCTCAATCCCAGTACTTGGGAGGACAGAAAGAAAGAAACAACTGGATGATAGAACTATTCTCAAAGATAATGATATAGGAAAACAAACCAAACAAGGTAGGAAAGAAAGGTTGTAAGATAACACCAATAGGGGAAACTAAGTCTAAACAACGAATTTGCATATTTGTGGTACCTTCAAGTGAAAAACCCAAGAATCATTTATAATTTGAAATTCTAAGACAGGGATCTCACCACTAGAGGCAATATACACCCTAAAGAAGACCAAGGACAAAGTATCATCGTGAAAGGTTCCATAGAAAGAACACTGAGCATAAGTAGAAGGAAGAAAAAGAAAGAGAGGAGAAAAGAGGATGAATGAATGAAGTTATAACAGTGGTGAATTGACAACACCAAAGAAAAAGCAACATATAGAAGACACTTGTGACAACTAAAGAGACACAGGCTTCCAGAAAGTATTGTTTTTTAAGATGAATATTTTAGGCATGTCATGGAAATTCCATAAAAAAAAAGAATGTAGACAATAAAGGACCAAGACCCCAATATAACTTGAAAAAATAAAACCCACAGCATAGGGAAAAGGATTAACCTGGGACACATAGTACAGAGTATATCATTAATTGTACAAAAAAAAAAAAAAAAAAAAAAAAAGGATGCTGATCCAGTGACTTTTTCAGCTTATAGTTGACAATGAGGGACTGATCACCTGATAGACTCCAGATGGATGTGTATGAGTAACAGAATGTTGGGCTGGGAGGTTTCATGATATAAAACAAAAATGAACAGATAGGTGGGCAGGTGCCTGGGAAGCTTTGAGGTCCCATTTAAGTTGGTAAAAATGGTTGCATTTTCCAGTTTTATTTGTATTACTTAGGAACCAGGAACAGAGATACAAAAAGGAACAACAACAAAAAAAAGACAGAGTGTGTTGGATTTGATTAGACTCAAGAATACAAGAAGGTTCAAGAAAGTTAAAAATTGTTGACAACAAAAAACTATTACTAAATTAACTCATGCCAAATTATCTAAATTATAAGATGTAGATATCTAAAAATAACCATGCTAAATAATAAGGAGAAGGTTCAAGGTCTGGTTTCCACATTCTTTAGCACAGAAGTGATATGAATTCCACTATCAGAAGTCAACTGCTAGAAAATACAAAAGCAGACAGAGTAATCAGAGGTAGAGCATGACCTTGCATGCAAGAAGCCCTGGCTTCACCCTGCATTAATTTTTTTTCACACATATATGTACTTAAAGTTCTATGACAAAAATAAGTAGATGTCATTTCTAAAAGAAAGAAGACATTAACTTTCTTGCTGCAATGTTTTACAAAGTTTGTGGAAAGTGGAAACGCTGCCATGATTTTTTAATTTGGAGATAGTTTTTGTTTTGCATTTTTGAGTCTATACATGTATATAAAGTCTATGCTAACAAAATTCATAAGATATATATGAATCATCTGAAAGTTACCTAAAGTAGTTTTGTCAATATTTAAAATTAATTCAACCTCTAGAACTTACATTGCCTGTCAGGGTGATAAACATGAAAGTATACCAATAAGAAAAGAGCCTTAAAATGGACTGTGAGCCAGCCTGCTAGTACATTCCCTTAGTAATCCCAGCACTAGTGAGGCTGAGAAGGGATCTAAATCCAATGTCAGCCCTGGCTACCTAGTAAATGAGATGATAGCCTGGGCTACATAAGACCTTATTTCAAAAATAACAACAAAAGCCAACACGGTGGTGCATACCTTCAATCTCACCAGAGGCAGGAGATCTTTATGAGTTCAAGGCCAGGCTGGTCTACACAATGAGTTCCAGGACAGCCAGGGTTATGTCTCAAAAAATAAAAAGTCAACAAAATTTAAACATTAGTTTTATAGACTTGTCTGAAATAAATTATTCACAAAAACTCACTTAATGGTGCTCTGACCATAATATGGAGAGTTACCAAATGGAGCTCAAGGACAAAGTGGGTATTTAGCATGCTTCAGGTCCTGGTTTCAATTCCCAGCACTGCAAACAAACAATAGCAACAACACTGTGCTGGATTATCAAATACACTCTCACAAAATATTTGTATGTCACAGTTGATACACCAACTACTACTGTCAGATCGCTAACCAATCCAGGAGAATAGCATATATAATAATGCCAGTGCTTAGGTGGCTGAGGTTGGGAGGTCATTCTGAGCTATAAAGTAAAATCCTGTCTCAAAACAGTAACTATAAATTAGAATACTTTGTTCCTAACAATGAAGGTTTTCAGATGTAAGCCATCCAGTTAGGTACAAGTAATATTTACTAACTCAGAGTAAACAGAATACAATGCATAGAGGAAGAACTGAGTCCAGTAATCAGGAGTATGCTAAATTTCAAAATGTATCCAAGATTGTAACAGCCAGTCTTCTAATCTGGAAACTGATTTCTCGAAGACACGAGTTTGTTTTCATGAAACTTTTGTTTTAATCAACCATATCTGGTAAATGCCCCCAAAAATTTTCTTTCTAGAATATGTTCTAGTTAAATGATGCAAGTTTGATTACGTTATAATTAATGTTTATTCTCTTTTCTAATACCATAATACTGACAATTATTGTTATTTTAATGATTTTTATTAAGTGTACTTACTTCTATAAATCACAGTAATTGATAAAATAAACCAAACATTTTAAACAAAGCCCAACTGACTTAGTTGTAATGGCATTATAGGTCCCATGAACAGTTTTCTTCCAGACAGATACAAAGGCAAACTTTCCCCCTTCTATAACCTCCTCACCCACAGACTCACATGTCCCTACACAAACAAATGCACCATTCAAAGAAAAACCTTTCTGTTTTTCCCAATATAGCAATCACAGTGCCACCAATAAAGCATCCCTAAAACACACAAAGAATAATTACTATCACAGAAAGATGGGGAAGAGAAGCTCTCTTCACCCAAAAAAACCCTAAAAGCAAAACAAAACAAAAAAACATAGAACCATTGTTACATTTTTCAATTTATAACTGGATCCATTTACCCATGAGTGAGCACACTGAGTTGTCTAATATTATAGAAAGCCTGAAACTACAGAGAAAGAAAATCCTAAATAACAGCACAAGCTTTTTGTCTCTTAAAAATTAACCTCCTTGAATCAGCAAGACAGCTCAGAGTCAACGTACTTGCTACCTAACCTCATGACCTCAATTCAATCCAAAGAAGCCTGAGGTCAATCATCAGCAGATGAAGAGAACAATCTCCTACAA